ACTCAGTACAGTACTACTCAGAGTTTTTTTTAAAAAAAACATGTCTTTACTGTTATTTGAGTAATTCCTTGGACAGCTATTTTTTTACTTTTACTTATATTGAAGTAATACTCTTACTTGAGTACAGCTCTGGTTTTAAGGAATAGTTGCCTCTAAATGTGTACTACAGTATGAAACATTTGAGAAGTACTTTCCTGGGATTTAGAAACAAAAGTTAAAAAATGTTCTGCAAAATAAGTTAGAGATAAATTATCGCTAACATTTGCTTTTTACTTTTATTTTGTAGATAACAAAACCACAATCAGCAATTAGAGCTCAAAATGCAAAGCTAACTGCAAAAGCCAATTTTTTTTACAGATTTCTGTAACAACAATCCTTTGCATCAAGTGTTTCTGGAAATGATGTGATACCAAGTTCATGACAGACAGAATTACAAGCTGGGAGACATGTGGACAGATGGACGAACAGATGGATAAACTCAAAATAAAAGAGAACAAATACATCTGGCACTCAGACGATGAAGCTTTGCTAACCTCRTGTGCACCCACACACGCAAAAAGAGTGTGTGAGGTGTAAGTGTGTAAAGGTGCACAGCAGATGGAGATGGAGGATTACGTAAGCCYCCTAAATAAGTTTAAAAAGGAGCCAGGCCAGTAGAGACATGCCCTCCTCTTCATCACGATCTGTTACTTCTTAAAAAAAAAAACTACTTTTCAATATGTTGCCCATTTCTCTCCAGTCTCTCCCCGTTTAAACTCTGCTTTCATGTTTCTTCTTTGTCTGCACATTTGTGTCTGCAGTGTTCAGAGAAATGTGTGTGCGCACGCACATGTGCATTTCTGCTACATTTACAACTCTGGAAATGTTCTCTAAATTAAATGCATCTTTTACTGTTTCTGTTTCTTTTCTTTGTGACATCTGCTCCAAAACAAGTTTATTCTTCTGAAATTTCAGATTTTTTTGAGAGCAGATTTTTGCGTTCTATAATAAGGGTGCATGTGAAAGAAAATCCAACTTTTTAGTTTAGTGTAGCTTATGTTGACCTGTGATCCTGGTGTGATGTGCACTGCATCAGAATGTCACTTTAGACCAGAGGTGTCCAATCCTGGTCCTTGTGGGCCACAATCCTGCATGTTTTAGATGTTCCTCTGCTTTGGCACGCCTGGTTTGAATGATTGAGTGATTAACAAGTTTCTGCAGAACTTGAAGGCCTGCTGAAAATCAGGTGCAGCATAACGGCCCTTAGTTTCATTTGATTTAAGCCTGAGTTCAGATGATGTGCCACTACAGTGAAGCATAGTACTGAAAACTACCCCTGCATGACAGAGGCTCCTCTAAACAGTAAAGCCATAAAAAGTTGCATTAATTTGACAATCACGGGTTCATTTTCCCCCCATGCCCACGTTGTGGTGTTCATGAACAAGACACTGAAAAGTAACAAAGTATAAATACTTCTTTAATGTGCTTAAGTAGGAATTTTGGTTATTTTTTTACCTTACTTGGGTAATTATTTTTAAGCCAACTTTTTACTTGTACTCCTTACATTTTTACAAAATTATCTGGACTTTTTACTCCYAATTAAAAAGAAAAGATAAGAAGTTGTTACTCCTATTGTATTTCAGCTTGTTTTCTTTCTGGCAACATATCCAGATTAATTGTGTCTCCTAGATAGAGTGAATTTAATGAGATGTGGATGAGTGTGGGTTGTGATTAAGTGAACTTCTAAGAAATAATAAATRTAAAAGTTGGTAATAGAAAGTGAGGCATGAGAAATAAATGCAAATATTTCCTTTTAAGTTAGAGTTTTTTTTCCTTTTTTTACTGAAACATGTATGTTATAAACTACAGAAAATATCACTGGACTTATTTTCTACAAAATAATTTGACCTACATAAAAACAAGGTRAAATCATATATGTTTTCAATAATTATTGACTGAGTTTGTCCCTTAGCTTGGAACAAGTTTTTAATTTTTGCCCCTCTTGAGCTTGACACCACCCCGGGTGAAGAAACAAAGAGTTGAGCAAACCCTCAGATCTTTACTGGACCAAGTTCCCACAGTGAGAAGTGGAACATATGTGATCCAATCAAGTCGCACCCAACACCCTGCAGGGTCCCCACACATCACAGGACACCTTGAAGSTTTTACATTTAAACACTGAAGGGCCAGAGTTGCACAAACATGCTAAAAACTTTACAATAAATATGTTTATAATGTCTTGATTTTTCTGTTTAATTAATAAAAAGTAGCACAATAATAATCCATTCATGACAAAACCCACCCATCCTGTCAGTTATAGTGTCTTTTCCTTGTCTTTGTAGCTAATCCCATTGACATCCTGAAGGTCCTGGAGCTTTCAGAGGACATGGAGGGTGTCTCACTGGAGGCAGGACTTTGCACCAGCAGGAACGGACGACAGGAGACAGACCTCTCCTTTAAAATCAACAAGAAGATTCAGCTAAGCGCACCCACCAAACAACTCTTCCCAGGTAACGTCTGACGAACCACTGCAGGGCTTGTTTGGCAGAGAAGCACATGGAAGCATTTACTTTATCGTGCACATGTCCATTCCCTCCAGATTCACCATTTCCTGTGAACTTCTCACTGATGACAACAGTTAAAGCTGCAAAGGGATCTCAAGTCTTTCTTTTGTCTTTGTATGACACACAGGTAGGCATGTGAAACCACTCCAGTGGAAAACTGAAGCGAGACATTTTTCTTTTTCTTTGGTTTATGCATAAAAATAACGCCTCAATCCTTTTTTGTTGCATACTTCCGCTGTATCTGATTGTACCCACTGAATCACAACTCCATATGGTCTCTCTGCTCATGTTTCAGGGAACACAGCAGCTGGGTTTGGAGCTTGCTCGTTCTCCCGTGTTCCTGTATGAGGACCACGAGGGTCGGCCAACTCCAGAACTTTACCCCATCTTCAGAAAGATCAACCTGGCTGACGGCAAGTGGGTAACTCCACAAACACAGGCACCTGCACACATAGTTTTTTGTTGGAGTTGGATATATACTGTATATAGTCTTTTTTCATCTTAAGTCCACTGACAAAAAAAAAAACTACAATAATAATAAAATAGTTGAGGATCACTTTAAAATATAAGGAGAAAACAAAAACTTCATTAAACTCCACTGGTATTATAGTACAAACTGACTGATRCGGTGTTACAAAGTGCCTTTTCTTTCCTTCAATCTCCCCAGGTGGCACAGAGTTGCCTACAGTGTCGAGGGTCAGGCGGTGACCCTGTACTTGGACTGTGAGAAGGTGGACACCCTGGACCTTCTCAGAGGTCAGGATCCTCGGGTCAGCACCGATGGTGTCACAGTGTTCGGGACGCGCCTGCTGGACGAAGGCGTGTTTGAGGTGAGTTTAGACAGCTGGTGTCAAATGTAACAAGAAAAGTGAGACGAGGTTCAATGCAAGCRCATCAGTAAACTGAAACTGCATTTTTTTTAAATAAGAGCAATAATTTATTCTATTTATCAAACTGGCAGAAAAAAAAGACATCACATCAAACAAAGTTTAAAGATAAAAACTTTGCTGCCATGATCTAAAATGTTTTTGTTTATAAAGAGGGAAAGATTGGGACTGCAAAAGAGCAAAAATCAGCTAGTTTGATTATGAAATGAGGTTCTGTACATATATTATAAACAATTATTATCTTACCTGTTCTAAAAAGCTCTTTGAATGATATCGGTCTGCAGAAAAATAGTTTAATTGTGACTGAACTGATGGGCTTACAATGAGTTCAAATGAGGCTAAGTGGATTCTTGCTGTTCTAAAACAAGTTCAATCAAAATGTCAAAGTGGTTCATTAAAATGATGTTTATAAACCATTTTATAAATCATTGCTGTCCATGTCACATTGTGCTGTAATTATAACATGTTCTCATGTCGGACTCGTAACATATTGACAATCAATATGTTGATGCGTGGGGGGTACCCCGCACGTCCGTCCTTGCCGCCCGCGGCTTTTCCGGGTTGCGTCACAGGATTAACGGTTAACTTTAGGGTTTGTGGTTAACATGAGGGATCAGGATTAATGGTTAACTTTAGGGTTTGTGGTTAACATGAGGGATCAGGATTAATGGTTAACTTTAGGGTCTGTGTTCGGGGACTCGTACTCCCCCACATCATCTCGTACAGAACGGACGCGTGGGGGGTACCCGTTGATTGGATGATCGTTGCTTAGGTGCTTCTTTATATTGTTAGCTTACTTTTCTAATATCAGACTTTAATTTAGTTATTTAATTTCATGGACTTGCTCTTGTTACCAAGGTAATCAGAAGACTTAATAGAAATAAAGAAATAATAATGACAAGTAGATCATGTTAACCGACCGTTATTATGTTTAAATGAAGACGTCGCCAATAATGGACTCAACGTCTTTATTAATTATTTCCCCTTCTCTTAACAAAGAACTCCAAGATACATTTAAAAATAAGAACAGTCTGTAGCATTTTTTTCTTTTTGAGACATTTAGAAATAGGTAGAACTAAATGTTTGTTTTTAAAGATACATTGCGATTTGATTAAAATAATCAAAATCAGTTTTGTCTGCTAAAATTAATATGGAAGTAGTTAAAGTCAAAAATGAAAGAAAAGTGAAAGAGAAGAAACAACCTTTTCAAAAGAACAGAGCAAATACAACTAGTCAATCAGTGTTTATGCTTGAGAAACGCCTACTTTGAGTCTGCAGAGAACCCCTTCTAGTCTGGACAATTTTGTGTTGTGCATAATATCATATAGTGTCTGCAGATTAATTTAGATTGAAGTTATTTTCAAGGGCCAGTATTATGTGTTTTTCAGGCATTTAGTGCAATTCCATACCAAAATTAAGTAACTATGTCACMTTCAGTCGTTATAAAAATRCTGTCAATTWGTATAAATCAAAAAYTGATTTGACTTTGCATCATAGCCAGTTCWAAATGCCTTTAAATTGGCCTCTGTCTCTTTAAGAACTTTCTACTGATTCCGTCATGCCCAGTTCTGCACGTCATCACAACTTCCTGCTGTTCACAACCGGTCTTATGAGTGTTGTATTTTGTTGTAATAATAATTATAAAAAGTAGTAGTAACACTATRCAATATCGGTCTTGAAAAATAGTAACACAGGATACAATTGAACCTTACTTGAATGATCTCACGTCGGACCTGGAAAGTACAGTGTGTTTTCTGAAGAACAGGATTGAGTAGAGAGATGAGGTTTCAGCTTGGAAGATATCTCCCAGTCATTCTCACACACACAACAGTGTTAAGCTTATTACTAAAGTCTGATGTGAGCCAACTAAWGAACACAGATCGTAATATAAGTTACGAATGGCGAATGGTAGATCACACATAGACAACGATGTGAACAAAACAACATAAGTTGTTTTTCAGCTTACCTGGGCAGACGACTTCTGTTTGTTGGAAMTGCATCATCTTTTAGTAATAATCTTATTAGTCCACTGTTAAATTTCTTTCTGAGAGTTTAGTCTCCTTGGCACCTAAAAATCCATTTCCTCAAATCCATTTTTTAATCCARAAATGACTGGACTGAAAAATAGTATTAGGAGCTCAGCAGATGCAGTTTCACCAGTTGTTTGCTAGATGTTGCTACTGATAGCCTGCAGGAGTCACGGGGGAAGCGTGCTCTGTGATGAGGAAGCTTGGCTTGGAAACACAGATAGAGGAGGAGCTGCTCCTAAAAGGCGGATCCAGGGCCAATCAGACATTTTTGTTCTCCTGAATAGCTGCCTCAGAACAGTACAGGATTTCTCAAACATGCATGAATGAGTCGAAGCAAGACTCTGGGCATGTTGATGAGGTAATGATTTTTTAACACGATATAAAGCTCAAAATTTTTGATTTTACATGATATTGCCCTTTTAAAACAGAAAAAATATGCTTTAGTCTTAGCCCAACTTAGACTAACCAATAGCTCATCAATCTGGTCAAAAATAAAACTATTTCTCCAAGCAAAGRTTATTCAAAGAGTCATCTAGAACAGGTAGGATATTGAGTGTTCATAACATTTTCACACAACCACATTTCAAAGATTGTGCACTTTTTAAAAAAAGTGCACGACTCAAACTGATTGGATACTTTTAGGACTTTTTCCAGCGTGTTGTAAATAAACGCCTGAGTTTCAAAGGTTTTCACTGTACTTTGTGTTTATGCCATAGCACACTTCACAAAATATGACTGAGGATTTTCCAAGTTTTCATACGTTCATGTTTGGCCAATCAGCTTTTTATTTAAATGCTCCTTTTCCCTTTCATCTTCAAATTATTTGCAGAATTAGACACGTTCGCACACTACTGTCATCTACAGATGTGCAGTTAAAAAAACACCACGCACAAATATAAAATTTACATTAATTTTATTTTCTTTACCCGTCTTAAAAATATATGTAAATATGTCATTGATGAAGTTGTTTTGCTTGCAAAAACTGAAACAAAAATTCTTGCAAACGTTTTCCCTCATTTTTCCAAGTTTTAGTTAACTCTCGCCAGCTGCCTTTGAGTCAAAATTTCTCTCGAAGCCTCGTTTTGAAAACTGAGCTCTTGTGGTTCATCGTGACCCAAGGGCAGAAGGAGGGTTAAACTCTCCTGTTCTTTGTGCTGCTTTGAGTTATCTGATAAAATCATGAATTAAAAAAAATGAAAGGTTATCTCTCTACACCGCCCCGTAGTGGTTGCAGGGATGAAGTGCAGCTCCGTAAACCACCTAAAACCTTTACATTCCTGAGCTATGTGGTAACGTTTTAATATGAATATGAGCTCATCAGGAAGTCGTGCAGAAATTAACCCAGTCAAAACAAACAAAGCTTTACAGATTCAAGCCTGTTCACTTTTATAAGTTCCGTTTCTGGGCTGTTATTTGTGGCTTGAGGTCCTTTTTGCAGACTCTGAGTGCAGACTGTGACCTTTGTTATGTCAGGTGGATCATCTGTTTAACTAAGCAACATCTAGCCTTATTTAGCTTGGACTTGTGTGTGAATGTGTGTGTGCGTGTGTGTTTGTATAAAACAGAAAGACGTGTTCGATGGTGGAAGCCATGTGCAGACTTGAAGCTCTGGAGACGATTAACTGCAGAGTGGTGATAAAAGCAGTATGTTGAGTCACTTTGATCCGACTAGATGAACACATTAAAAGTTTGAGACATGAAAACCAGGCGGGTGAGCCTTGTCATTTTATTAGATAAATGCACTGCTGTACGGTTATGATTGATGATGATGATGGTGATGATATGTGCGGTGCGATCCGACACGTGCGTTTCTGATGACGTTGGGCGTCGCTGACTTCCAAGATTTGTTTTGTGTGTTTTCATAACTTAGGGAGAAATCCAACAGCTGCTGCTCGTCGATGATCCCAGAGCAGCAGAGTCCTACTGTCAGGACTACATACCAGACTGTGATGCGCCTCTACCTTACGACAGCATCCTGACACCCACTGAGGAGGTGAGTTCTCATCCAACAAACCAACAGTGAGAGGCCAGAAAGAGCTGAAGTTTTTACAACACAGACTGTTCTTGTCACATTTGGTCTATTTTACTCAGAAATCAAGAAAGTTGAAAACTATGAATGGATTTATGATTAAATAAACTTAAGACAAAAAGTAAGGACATTTATGTTTGGTAGATTATGTTTCTTTGTTGTAATGCTTCTTGGCAGTCAATTTTATAGTCGGAAAGCCTTTTAGTTTCCCTTTTAAATGGTGCCACATTTGTAAGGAACATGCATTTGTGTGGTGAGTAGTAGAGCTATGTGGGTTGCAGACACGAAAAGTTTGCCAAATTTTCTCTGTTTTGAGCTTTTAGTACCTCCGGGTGCTGCCAATCTGGTGCCTGATATAAGATTTATTGCAAAGAAGCATTGTTGCATAAATATAATCCACCAAACACAAATTTTCTTACTTTTTGTGCTAAGTACAGATTTGTTAAATCCATCAGTCTAGTATCTGCCACTTGTTCTGGAGTCATGTCGCGACGGAGCAGCTTGAGCAGGGAAGCCAACAGACATAGTCTCTTCAGTGTCCTGGGTCTGGGGAATCTAGAGAAAATTCTTACTTCAACTGGCTCCTCTCAACATCTTTTACAATATTTATATACAAAGATTGTCCAGCTTCAGTTTTTGAAAGAGCTCATTGGGTTGATTGTCAGATTGTCAGCCAGTGTCCCCAACATCGTTTAATCACCATTAAATCCTGTATATTTTTTTTCACTCATTTTGTCATGAACTCTTGTTCAAAGACTCCTTTGCTCAGATTTTCCACATTATTTCTGCTCTTATTGTCTCTGTCCCCCTTTTTAGTCAAAAATGCCTTGTTTTATTTTATTTATTTATTTTTATTTTATTTTATTTTATTTTTTTTGCCAGATTCTGGTCACAGCTTCAGTCATTTCCTCCTGCTGCTGTTTGAGTCATTGTCTGGTTTAACTCATCACACACTTTCAGTTTTCAGTCTCTAAAGCATTGCCAAAACTGCAATTCATGTCAAAAAGGCAACAGAAAACACAAAAAGGGGCACTAATTAAGCCATTTTAAAAATCTAATTAAAATTAGGTCCAGAATGATGAAAGTCTGATGCCACATGGGTTTGTCCTCTGTTTTACAGGACTAAGCTTTTCTCATTTTCTTCATTTTAAAAGTTTTTTTTTCTCTTTGTTAGGGACGATGCTTAGGTTTATCATTAGACATTGTGAAAAGTTAACAAATTTCTGAGCTCACTATTAGTAAGTGCAATTCATTAAAACTATGCGACAGTTATGACCAAACTCAGTTGTGTTTCAGCTCCAGCTTGGTGAAGWTGCTGTTTAGATAATCTCCAGACTGTTTTGCAATCCTTTTATTTCAAGCCTGAAGAAGTAAAAAAAAAGGATACAATTTTTTATATTTTTTTTCTGCAACTGAGTGTTCACTTGGACAAACTGGAAATGATTTCATCTCTCAAATCTAATGTTTTATGTCTCCAGATTTCACATTTTAAAAATGTACGGTTCTGTTGAGCTTTTTGATGTTTTGTTCTTGTGTGGACTTTAGACCGAGGGAACACCTAAGAAACGTGTGGTGGAGGAGTTTGAGGAGTTTGACTACAGCGACCTCTATGAGGACATTTCTGTGTCCTCGGTGACGTCGGGGCCGAATGTGACGGAGTACGAGGTGAGCGACGGCAGCAGCTGAAGCTTTGTAAAGTCCTTCTCTTGTGTCCGCTCCTTCATCTTTCTGTTCTTCATCAGATTGTTGAGTACGAAGATTATGACAACACTACAAACTACTATCATACGAACGAGTACGAATATGAGGAGGAATACGACGAGCGCTACGGACCTGCTCAGAGGGAACGAGGTTACTCTCTGGACACACAGGTGCAGCCCAAACTTTAGTCATTTACAGACAAAAAAACAATATCTTTGATCATCGTTGTTCTAACATCTTTTTCTCATTTAGAATCTACCTGAAAAAGGACAGAAAGGAGAACAAGGCATTCTGGGAGAGGTGAGATATCCACAAAGGAAAACAGAGCTGAAAACCAAAATCTGTCCTAAAAGATTTGTCAGAAACATATTCATAATTGATCAGACATTTCAAAAACATCTTGTTTTATGCTGATGATGACATGAAGCAGTTTGTTTATGAGCTTACCAGTCAAATTTAATTAAAGACTTTTAGTGTTAGATTTAAAAAAGCTGACAAATAAAAAAGAGAAAGAACATGAAATAAACAAACAAAAAAAACATGCTTTTGTTTCCAATCTATGGTAGATTAAATAAAAATAGATAATTACCTGAGTTTGTCAGAAACTTCAGACTGGTTATGAATATTTCATCTGTTACTAAAAACCAAAAGATTCAGTTTTATGAACGTTTGAGGTAAAGCACAAGAAGCTTTGATAAACATGTAGTTGGAAGAATAGTATTGCATGTATACAGCTGTATTATTCTGTTTACATTGCGTGATAACTAGAAGCAAATTACTTTGTATGTTTGATTCTATCAGTTTATATAAGTTTTATGTTTTATTTTCTGAATTAACCTTGAACATTTTTGTCTGAYTGATGATTAAATTCAGCTGAACAGACAAGAAAAATTTATGAAAAATAAAATAATAATAATTAATTAAAAAATTAAAATGAATTAAGAAAAATACATTTATTTTATCCAGGGAATAAGATTGTGGAACAGCATGGAAGATGAGGTTAAAAATGCCAGATCCTTATATTGAAGAGAATGATAAAAACTAGTATTCTGAAGAAATATGGAGAAGTATAAGGGAATTCATGCAAATTGTTGTTTGAGTTGGTGTTTTAAATATTAATTTTTAATTTTTTTGAGTGTTTTCATTTGTTTTGATTTTTGTTGGAATTTACCTTTCTTTTGAACATATTTTGAGTATAAAAAAGGGGCAGATATTATAAGATTTCTTCTTCTGCTGCCTTTCATTTTATTTGATGTTATTTTGATTGCATGTTTTTTTGTACTTTGTTAATTTGTGTTATGAATGAAATGAATAAAGTGAAATTCGGAAGAAAAAAGAAAACAAAAACAGAAAAAAATGATTTTCTTTTGTATGTTTTAGTCTTAATCATTAAACTAGCTAAACTACTCCGAGGGATCTTGTTTCAGAAGTGTATCATTTGCTTCTAAACATGATAATATTAACTTTAAACATTGCAGTCAGACTTGATGTGGGTTTGATTGTTACCATTTTGACCACTTGTTTGTTTTGGTGCATTTTTTACAGGGAACACAGATTACAGGACCATATGGGCCCCCAGGACCTGAGGTTAGTGATGTTTACTGCATGGTTTGTAAGCTGAAACACATTTTTCTTCAGGTTCAAAAACACTTTCTTCAATTTGAGGGGGTTGCAGACACAACAACTGTAGAGATCATGTAAAAGGATTTTATTAAAAAAGGAAGTCCATCCTATTCTTACTCACTAACAGAGTCTTCTGTGTGTTCACAGGGAGAGCCGGGACCTCCTGGGATCACGGGACCAGTGGGACCACGAGGAGACCCTGGAGAGTTGGTAAAGACTTGCCCTGTGTTYGCTGATTGTGCTGCTGATCTGACATTCCTCYGGGACTGAGCTCGTCTCTCTGCTGTCAGGGTCCTCCAGGGCGGCCGGGTCTTAATGGTGCTGATGGGATACCAGGTCCTCCAGGAAACATCATGCTCATACCGGTAACAGCAACAGATTACTGAGTTCCCAGAGGTCTCAGAAGGTGCTGTAAGTTAGCTTGCTGTGACTGAGGTCCTATTAACCCGAACAAAGCCTCAAGGCAAATGGAAAAGTGGAAAAGTATGAATGCTGTTGAAAAAAATGAGCCTGCAGAGTTACACACAGACACACAACCGCTGCTTTTCTGACACCTTCCTGCACTTTTGAGTGTGTGCTTTAAAACACATTATTTATTTGACCTTTATTCGTCTGATCTCCTGTAATAATTACAGCTTTAGATTCACACAGTTTCAGTCCTCTGATTCCTGTGTGGAGGCAGTAAATATGTCACATTTCTCTCCCAAGTTCTTTTTCTTATTTTTTAGTTTGCTTCAAATTTCTAGCCTGTACCAAACACCAGTGTGAGTGCTCTGTTTTGGCCACTAGATGGAGTATTGAGTGTGCTCTTCTGGTTGCAGTTCCAGTCAGGCGGTGACCCGGGAACAGGTGCTGTGGTTTCTGCACAGGAGGCTCAGGCTCAGGCCATCCTGCAGCAGACCAAGGTACCAAACATCTAATTACTCAGAAATGCTTTGTTTTATTTTATTTTATTTTTTTGCCTTTTTGCGTTTTTGTAAAGATGATCAAATCCTTATTAAAGCTTCCCTCTTACTCTAGCTGGCAATGAAGGGACCTCCAGGGCCACTGGGTCTCAGGGGACGGCCTGGACCACTGGTGAGGGATCTTAGCAATATACAGACATAAACATTTTTACGTGATTGTCATCAGTTTCTGTGGTATTCTAATGAGTAATGGTAAAGCAACTTTCTCATTTTGTTTACAAATACAGTGAAAGTTGCTTTACATTAACTCATCTCAGTTGAATGGAAAATGTTGACATAAGTTGGTTAAGTAAATCCAACTCATCTGTTTTTGTGTGCCTAAATATTTGTCTCCCATTATGTGCACATTAATATCAAAGGTTTTATTATGAACCTATTGATAGAAATTACTAAACAAATGTTTTTCTTGTTGTTCATCTCAGGGTGCATCAGGTCCCACTGGTCTAAAGGGGAGCAGTGGGGACATGGGACCACCAGTGAGTCAGCTAATTGCCATGAAAACACACACCATCCTTTGAATTAAACAGAAGTAACAAACCAAAGTATCTTTATTTACTGATGAAGTTTCTCCTGCTCTCCTCCCTCAGGGTTCTCCTGGGCTGTCGGGGATCCCAGGTCAGAACGGACGACCTGGGAAACGGGTGAGATTATTTACTGAAATATTGCATTTTTATGTTAGTATTGTCTGTACCTTATACAGTACTATATCCTACATGGATGTGTTTTTCAGGGTCGAGCAGGTGCAGATGGGGGCCGTGGTGCAATAGGAGAGACTGGAGCAA